GGCAGTTGTGCTAGACATATCCGATACCTACTTCTGATAGCGTTTTTGACCCAGTTTGTAACAAACGTGCACGCTTGTTATCAAACAGTAAAGAATACTTGGTAAATTGATTTTTATTCTAAATTTCAATTTCAATTTTTATATTTTGTATGTACTTCGCCCACTCTTGTGCGGGCTATACATACAACTGTTTTTAATCTACTTTTGGCCGATGTATTGAACCATAACCAAACACGTAAAAGATAAGAAAAATAATGAATAACTTCTACAGTCGTTCATGCTTGTGTAATGTTATTTATCTCATTAGACTAATAAATGTTAACAAGCTTTTAAAGAGATCATAGAAACGATTATTTAGATTAGATGACATTAGAGTAAGGTACTGCTACCATCTATATAATGTTTGCATCATGATAGAGACATGAGCTTCTTGCGACTTTTAATGTCTCATCTCATTACTAAGTGTGTGAGTGTGTTCTAGAAACACTTGAAAATCACATTATCTTCTTGACGAAGTCTTTTTAAAACTTTGCTGAGGTATTATATATTTGGATAGCAAAGCAAATGTACGGGAAGAAGGTATGTGTGTGCTAGGAGAAGGTATTGTCGCTTCCATTTCAAAGCTTGTTTGCCTTAACTGAAGTGTAAAACGGCGATGGTTAGAAAGAAGCGGGCAAAGAGTGGACGTGTGGCCAATCGGTAAGCATGGTCAAACCATACATGTCTATATATATTTATATATTTTATGTATATATATTATACATGCAGATATGGGCAGAAAAATAGGCGCGAGGTGTACTTTTCAGTTCATAGAAATTGTAAAAGGCAGCTCCCATACAGCTCGTACAACGTTTTTACACGTTGCTAAACTGTCAAATCAATTCCCGGAACTCCACGCGAGCTAGTTCTTGCAGATTTTTATGTTATATACGTTTTTTTTATATGGCCAATCACTCAGTAGATGTCTCTCGTATTTCGCGTAACACGAGGACGTTCAGAAAGATTTGAAGAATGAGATAAGCAGGTGTCCTCAATCCAGTGTTCCGAAAAAGTGGAGTTACTTAGCCCACTCTTAGTATAGTACCCCTAGTATAGCAAGTCAAATCACACTGGCGACGGCCAGAAAGAAGTTAGCAAAGAGAAAGAAAGGAAGAAATAGGAAGATGGTGGCCGCAGCCTAATGGATGTGAGCCCAGTCGGTATGTGTTATGTCGTTACCGAATGAGTACTCACTATAGCTATGGCAAAAGTAAACTAAAACCGTATGGAGGTTTGAACCCGCGAACACTGACTTGGCAGTCGCTGTGCTTGTCTACCAGATTACTCGGACACTGATCGCAACAATGCAGCCATCGGTTTCAAACCCGTCAGAAAAGCTAGAAGATATTGCACCCATGTCAGCATTGAAAGTGAGGCAAATCGGTCAAAGGACACGGCCACAGTAAAATATAATCTGAAATCAACGCCATTTCTGCTTTTTGTTCCTTACATATAAACCAAAACAGGCACAACGATAAAAACTTGCATTTATATTCTATTGATAGCCCTACACCGCCTGGACAAAGAAAGAAAAAATTGGCCACGCCTATACAAACTTATAAGCTATCAAATTTTAATTTTTTCCCTTTTTTGATCTTTTCTGCTTCTTACTCATAAGACAAAAATATTGAACATTATTTGTGTTGATTCTAAAGTATACATGGATGAACCCCACAGCGTTGGTGGATTCGTTTTTTGTTGGCAGTATAACGTATTAAATATTAAATAGAAGGGCTTGGAGACTGAAATGCTACAAGCTAAGTGTGTTAATGCCAAATTAAACGTCGCGAACATCACTGCGGTTTACGACGAATAACGCTAGTGGGTACAAAAAATTCGTTTGCGACCGAGTACAATTTTTTTCCTGTTTTTAATATGCTCGTAAGTTCCGGTTGGCAATTTGAGAATACTTACGTTAAGGCCTCGGATTCTTTTCTTTTCGTACTTTTTTTTTTCTGTTTGCATGCAATGAGAGACAGATATTTATTATCTATTATAATTGTGTTAATTAATAATAATGTGCATTAATTTTAATGATAACTATAACTAAAATATCATTTTTCAATTAAATGTTATTAAAATTTTAAGAATTTATTGCCGTTATTCTATAAAAATTTAAATTAAAATCATTAATAACACAAGTACATAATTAAAAGAAAAAATCTTAATTAAAAATTTAAAATGATTTATCTAAATCGTTTAAATGGATTTTATTATAGGGAGGATCAAGCTTTAAGTCACTTGACTTGTTTTATATTTTATTTATTTCACTGGGGAATAAGGTCTTTGTGTCCTAAATAAGAGTATGAGTATTACTTTTTGAGGTAAAACTTACGGTTAAATGGTGTCTACGGTTTACATGTACTCGTAAACACGTGCAATTATAGATAACGGGATGGCACAGATATCAGTGTAGATGTCGAAAAAGACCGCAATTTAAGAATTTTGCTTAACGAGGGCAATTAAACTCAATTTGCATGCAAATATTTAACAAAGCATTAGGTTTTCATATATATAATAAGAATAATCCAAAATGTATTATTATTATTATTATTATAATTTTAGACTAATGAAATAAATTCTTAAACTAAAAAAAAAAGACATTGAGCACTAACAGCACAGGCTATCGGCTCGAATCCAAAATGTAATTTTTAATTATTATTCGTTCACTTATTTCAATCGGAAATCATTTTAAATTCATGCAGCGACATGAATACAGTGCAGCACAGAAACAGATTGTGTGTCATTGGTCATGACAAAGTTCACAATCCTCTTTATTCGCTATATATTTTCGTGTATCGCAAAATTGAAAGAGAAAGCAGGACTGTACTACTCGCCACTCCCCTACTTATGCACCAGACATTCATGTCGTTTGTCAACTCAGTCGAAAGTAATTTCGTTTTTAAGATAAGTCAGACGTCCAAATAATTAAGCAAATTATATTCGGCCGCGGCCAAATCTATTTTATACCCATCATCGTTATCCTGTCTAACGTATGTCTTTTTTAAACTTCCTTTTATTCGACATCCATATCAACGGGATTGTCGAGAATATCTCAATCCACGACGTCGTGATGCTCGCGATATTGAAATGATTAATTGTTATGGCAACGCAATTAAATGGATTGTAACGCAGCATAATGTTTCTCTATGCAGCAAACAAAACATTCCCTGTGCAACTTATAGAACATTTCGATTTCATATTTTTATACCCACCACTGTAAGATGGTCGTAGACTCATTTTGTTTTTTCACATAACGTATGTCACATCCAAGAGGACATTTCAGAGATGTCTGCCCGTCTGTGTGTCGGTATGGTGTTTGTTGTTGGCCCTCCTTTTATCGCAAAAATGAAGATATCCTAACGCAATCAAGGCGCAATGTTTAAAACTATTTTGTACATCCCTCAAGTGAAGATATATCATCTGCCTAAAAATGAGTTAAATCTAAAAAGGGTTTTGTAGAGACCGCAATACTTTTTTTTTTTTTTTAATAATACCATGGATATGGGTATCAAAGAAAAGAACCTGGGGAGTAGAAAGCGGTGGGTTGTGCGAGACTCGGCCCCCGCTGAATATAACTTTCTTACTTGTTATACGTATTAAAGTTAAAAGTTATTCTTAATCCCTTGTTCATCATAACCAAAGTTGAACGGGAGGATCAATCCCAGGTAGATATAAAAAGTTGCAATTTAGTTTGGATTTTCCCACCGTTATGCTATTTTAGGCAAAAAAAAGAAAGAAAAACATTCAATTAAACAATCGACAGATATGCATACATAAAATACATAAAATTCGTGCGATAATTTCATTTCTGGCATTTTCTATAATTTATAAATTTTAATTGTCCGGTGGTCGATTATTACGAGACTTCTACATTTGAAATATTTCGCTGTATTTACGGAAAGCACATAGCGTGAAAGACTGCCGTACAAAACCTTCTGCGTTTTGTTCTTAGCGTCAAGAGCGTTTGATGAACGCAATAAAACATTTATCATGGATGTAAAGTTATTTTTCAAAATTAATGAACGCGAATCTATGTGTATTACATAACCTTATGTCAGATGAAAGAGACTGGTGAACAGGTAAACGAAACCCTTCCCCATAATAAAAAAACTCGGACTAGCGGAAAGTTAGGCGTTAACATGAAAACTTGCAGGCAAACTTAAATTCTTCTCCCTCAACGACTTCGCTTGTCTACCTATGAGGGTTACGATGAAAATGACGAAAATAATTGGGCTTATAAAAGAGTTTTCTAAAATTTATTGGAAAATTGAAGGACTGTTTTTATTGTCTCCCTAGTGGTTTCTTGCAATGATTCCCCTGATCATAATAACTGCTCATTATAGTCACGCCCACGATTTGTTTGACTAAATTTCCCAGCTCCTCTTTTTCGAAAACATGGTAGTAACGCAAGAAAGAGTCTGTATTCTTTTGAGTCTCTTTGGATTTCAGCTTCCAGGGCACTAGGATGTCTTGTTTCAAGAATTCAGTGCGATTTTATGTATCGGCAAAACAATACACAATACTCCAGAAGGCGGAAGAGAAAATATTAAAAAACAATGTGCGAGTAAGAACCGGAAATTGTATGTGTTTTTTTTAGTTATGGTGCAAAATACAAAATGGAAAATATTCAAAAAATATAACTACTTTACACACACCCCAAAACCCCCCAAGACCAAACCAGAAAATTCGAAGGATGTGAAAAAATCGATTTATAATCTCTGACGACAGAGGTTATTTGACCTCAGGAAATCTATCCTGGATTTTCATACATAGATTTCAATGCGTATAATTTATAATTTAAACAAAGTCGAGCAGCAATTATCTAAAAAAATTGTCCTTTATTTCTAGAATAATCAATAATATCTAAGTAAGGGGCCTTTGCTGCGTGCATCAAAAAGAAATCGAATAATTTCGAATGTTTAAGATTGCATTGACTGTATTTGTTTAATAACAAGTTACATTTATTATAAAAAGCAAATAATCTCAAAATATAAAAAACAATGTATTACAATTCCTTTTTTTTTAATAGAGGGATATTGCGGCGGTGAGAAGCACCGTACATGCTCCACATTGGATCCTTCAAAGTCAGTGCAGTAAAAATCTGCGAGTTCAATACTTGAAAGCGTCTCATATGGTCTACCGTACGTTTAAGTTTCTGCATAAATTTAATAAAAATTAGGTATAAATAATTCAGTAGGTATGGAAAATTAAGCAACTGTTAAAAGACTAAGATTAAGACTTACAATCCCTTTGACATCTTCTTCTCTGCCATCAGCACGCTGCACTGTTAGGATGTGGTACCAAAAATCCAAAACTTCAAAATGCCTTTGTTGACCCAACAGAACAATCATTGCACAACCAGCCCAATTGAGGTGTGGGTACCATTCGTCATTGTAGATGGTGGATCGGTTGGTGAAATCTTCGAAATCCGAACCACAAGAGCGCTTTTACTATTTCGCACACAAAATCTTAACTCTAACCAATTACCGTAATTGGCAAGCTCTATTATTTTTGTCGCAAGCTCTATTATTTTCTATTTATTTATGTAAACAATTCATAATAGTAATCAGCTGTAATTACGTTAATCTTAGTTTAGAATTTCACAATATTTCCCTTTATTCCTGTCGTCATAACGATGCCGTTATGAAATGTCAGTCGAATGTCTAGAGATGCGTCCCATTCAGAACACAGTTAAATCATATTTATCTATCTCTTTCCCACAATTACAGTTTTGAGATGTCAGCTGTTATGTGCCCAGCAATTAAAAAATACTACAATACGTTGATCGAAATTATTCCCGCTCACGGCAAGAAGAACATGTACCACAGCTCAAAGCAGCTGCACAAATCTTTTGCAAATTTTTGCCTTGAATATAATGGAGAGCATATTCGCCATGAGAATAATTAATACAAGATTATTTCCAACAATCAGATACAATTTTCGACTATTTTTAAAAAAAAACTTATGAATAAAGTTGGAAAAAGGTAAAGGTAGTAAACGAAATAAAGTGTAAACACATATATGATATCGCTCTTGATAAGAAAGGTGTTCAATGTTTTTGTTCTACAGCCCATTCCAGCTGTAGCGATTACGCCTTTAGGTACTGGTAACGATTTATCGCGTATCTTGGGCTGGGATTTAGAACCACCTTCCATTTTAAATCCAATTGAAATCTTGAATAACGTACGTGAAGGACACCAGAAACTTTTTCAGACGTACTATAGCATTCAGATCTCCTGTAGCATTATCGACTCATCGCATTCTACCCATTTATTAATATTATGCTAAGTATACACTTTTATATATTCTCACATATCGATTATGTTAAGTATACATTTTCAAATATTTTCACACAAAATAATATTAACTTGGTTTGCTTAAGCCACCATATTCCCTTACTATATAAGACCCTTTGCAAATGCAAACAAATTCAGACGCTTATTCTCACATTTTTCGCTTACTCTCGTACTTTACCATTTTTTATGCGCTTACTCTCGCACTGACCACTGTAGAGTTAAGTCAAAGTGAAGCCAAAGTTATGTCAGAGAACCATACCAATGAGTAAACGTGAAATTGTTTTTAATGAAATATGTTTCACTACACTCCACTGCGAAAAGCGTTTAGCTTATGGTCATTTCAGGAGCCTTCATTTTTTTCTCTTAATTCTTCAATTACTATTTCGTGGATTATTACGAAAGCTACTCAGAGCTTTTAACATTAATCCGCGGCCAGAACGAGCAGTCAATCTAAACAATGATTTTCATTGTAACTATACCAAAATGATGCTTCCATTGAGTGAAGAAGAGAAGCGAAGAAAAAGTTGCCCGAGAAATGCTTGAGAATAAGTTAAAAGCCCTTGTACAGCTTTTCTCTCCACTTATGCTCTATTTACATTACGAAAGTTTACAGACTTTCTGATTAGAGGATGTGAATGTAATTGAACAAATTCAAGTTGTGCGGAGTTCTCAAGAGGTCTGTTCAAAAAAAAACACTTTTTATTTTTTCGTAAAATATTTATTTACTCATCAATATCTGTTTTGTCCCTTCCAAAATAATCCCCCTTATATGTAAAATACTTGTGCCAGAGCTTTTTCCAATCTTCGAAGCATTTCTGATATGCGCCTCTTCGGTATGTGCAATTTCGTATGTGAAATATGCAAGAAATGCGTAAGGTGTGCTAGAAACGATTTCGAGTAAAATGTTTTCATGATTTCTACGTTTTTATGGGGAAGATTTAAAAAGCTCCGGTTTCTTGGATGCATCGTTGAGAAAATTGACAAAAACTGCAATGTAGGCAATCCTGATATCCAAAGAGAAGCGAGAAGTAATTTGGAGAAAACTAATTGCAAGCTGCCGGTGTCGTTCCAAGAAGGGACCATTCTTAGAACAAGCGGGTTTTCCTAAGAACGCCGAGCAAGATTATCATGTACGCAATCTTTAGGTCAGCAAGTACCCAAACATGCCTAAACCAAATGGGTTTATGAAATCTGAAAACAACTCACTGTATAAACAAATAAGAAAATTATATTCGGTTGAGACCGAATCTTCATCACCGCTATGCTATATAAAAGATTGAAAAAAAGGAAAATATAAATTTGCATACCCCATATTATTAAGTGGACGTGGTTGATTTTTTCTATTTTTGTAGAATAATTTCGTGGTAATGTATATTGTGTATCTATTGTAGTTCACGAGCAGCGAGCAAAAGACACGGAAAGCAAGGATGTTCACAGTTTTTTTTTTTTGCGTAGACGTATGGGCTTATGGGCGTTGTAAGCGTTTTCATAGTTAGGCAGGCGGACAGATGGACAGACAAACACACGAACATGTTTAGGTGTACTCTGAATCTGTTACTGGGCAAATGTTTAGACCTTTTTTACACGATTTTTAAATAACCCACTTCACCATTGGAACAAATACAATTTGTTACATTGATTTTTATTCGTAATTTTAATGGACTTATGGGCTGAATTTTCACTATACACTAATTTTAATTCTTGTTTTTCATATCCTTCACCGCTTGTGAAGATTAGGCGGCATTTTATTATACCGATCGATTCAGAATGATAATCTGAAATCTGATCTAAACCTGTCTGTCCGTCTGTAGTATATCCATGTAAATTTGTATTCAAGCTGTAGGTCGCAATTCCTGAGATATTTTGATGAAATTTGATGCAGTGACGTGTTTTGACGCAATGGCGAACGCTGTTGAAAATGGTTCGAATCGGTTCACTTTTTCGACCATTCCCCATGTAATGCTAAAAAGTCGTTCTATGGAAAAAAATTGTATTTTCAAAATTTCTCGGCAAGAGACACTAAGTAATAGTATTTCGGTATTCTAAATTGGCATGAAAACTTTGGGCCGGATGACGCAATTTTTGAACCACTTCTCTTATAACGAAAAGTGAAGTTCATACGATAAAAAGGTATAATTTTCAATGCTTCACGATAAAAATTATACCATATAAATTTAAAGTCCATAGCTTCATTTGTGCGGTCTGGAGAATGTTTACAACCAACGGACAGACGGATATGCTTAAATCGATGGACAATTTGACGCTGATCAATTATATATATACTTTGTGTGGTCTCTGAAGTTTTCTGCTATGTCTCTGAAGTTTCCTTCTCGTCCTTCGGGGGTGGTTATAAAAAGATGACAATATTCAGTTGCCGCACATCTTTGAATTTAGTTTTTCGATTTCAATTTTTCGATGATAGTTCTGCCAATAAGAGGTTTCAGACAGACAAATGAATGAATGGATGAAGATAAGACTATGGTTGCACTGAATCTAAAACCACTTACTTACTTAGTTTAGCAAATTAGCACATTGCCCACAGTCGATCGAACTCTAAGACAGATCTAGGGACGGAAGCATTTCAAATGTACGCGTAGCACTTCCAGCAATCCTACTAATTAGTTCTTTCAATTCCTGATGCAGTTGAACTCATGGGTGTTATGTTGCTGAAAGCCTCGAGAGATAGGGTGCATCCTCACTACGTATGCCGTGTAATATTCCATCCCATCCATTGGTGGTAGCTATAAAAACATGTTGCTTGCAATGTGTTCAAGCGAAATTCGACCTAAGCCGAACTTGATCACTTAATTTTATATTATATATTGTCTGGCAAAAAAGAAATTTCGGTAACGTTCGAGATGGGTAAGTCAAAGTGAATTGAAACTGATGAAATTTCCTGAAATTTCTTTCTCGCCAACTCAATATTTGTTTGGTTTTAAAATCTGAGAATGAATGTATATATATTTGAATTGATTCATATAGATACGATATCTTACTATTCGTTCGCATTCTCCGTGAAGTATCCTTAAGCAAGAGCTGGCAAATGTTATTTCTGTTCGTTTCAGTACAAAGCAAATTGCATATGCATATATATGTATATGTAGATTTATATACTTACACATGTTTTTATGTATGCAAGTATGTATGTAAGTAATTGTGTTTTGTATTATTAAAATTTTCCCCTCTTTAAAAAATGAGAGCAAAAATAAATAAATGAATAAATAAAAAAATAAAATAAAAATTAAAAAAAAAAAAAAATAAGAAAAAATTTATAAATCAAGGTCAACTTGTTATTATTTATTTTGAAAAAATTTGAACTAAACAAGCTCACAAATTTATATTTCAGTCCTCATCATTCCATGTCAATCATTCAGCGATTTCAACGACCTTGACTTATATATTGTTGTTTAGATGTAGGCATAGAGGTGTGTAACACATCTATGCTGCGTACTTATGTTGTTTTTTTTTTGCCAATCAATTTTTCGAACATATCGACTGATAGTGTGTGTCGGTAAACATTGGAAGCCAATGACTGAGAAAAAAGAAAAACAAATTTCTTCACATCTAGATGTTTTAATGATTTTCTCTCTAATTCTAAGACAGTTGTTTTTTTTTCAAATTTTATTATTTTTTCAAACGAATTTTTTCAAATTTCTGTTATATTTTCTTCTTTTTTTTTTTGTACATTTTTAACTGTTTTTTTTTTTTTTGTTTTTTCTTTTTCAATTAAAATAACAATTTAAGTTGAGGGCCACATTAATTTTTCATCTTCATCTCGAATTTTAACTGCTTTTTTCTTCTTTCTGTTAATTTGAATCTAGAAGAGAGAGAGAAAGAGAGAGAGACTGTTGTTGTTGTTTGTTGTTGTTGTTGTTATTGTTGTTGTTTTTTAGTTTAATTTAATTTCTTTTGTTTTCTTTTTCTTAGTGAAGTTTAATGTTTTTTGTTTGTTTGTTGGTTTTGCTGTTGTTGTTGTTGGTTTTGCTGTTTTTTGGGTTTATTCTTATTTTCTTACTTAAAAGCTAATCGCTTGTCATTTTTGACCGCCCTGGGCACTAGTTTTAATGACTCGATGCCCGGGGGCTGTAGGTGATAAACTTAACGGAGACGGCATATCCTGGCGTTTATCCTGTATAGACAATGGCAGAAATTGTTGTTGACGTTTCTTACTCAGTTTATTGTTATCATAACCGTTGTCACTTTTGCCGAACAAAATAGTTAAGTGGACTGCACAAAATAGACCCAAACTCTGCAAACGCATTACATAAAAAATACAGAATGTCATTAAATTTGCAGTCTTGTGTGTGTGTTTGCTTGTGTGCATATATTTATAAGCATTTATATCTCTATACCCATAAACATACATACATACACACATATGTTCTTATACGTGTCCATATATATATACATTTATATATATATATATATATATATGTGTATGTGTGTGTGTGTTTGTGTGAAATATACATCAATCTGTACCTGGAAAATGGCTATAATAGCAGCACTAAATGCAGTAATAAGCAAGCGATGCTTGATTTGTTCGGAGACAACAGCCAGGCAGCCACGTTTGTAATGAGTGTCGCAAGCCGATTCATAGGCATGTTCAGGCCGAGAACAACAAGACCAGGGCAGTGACAAACGGCGATAATCCAATGGTCCATCTACACCACAACATTGCAACTATAATGAGATTTTTAATTAAAATCGAAACCAAGCTTTGAAACGTTCAAATGTCACTCAAGAATTTATCCTTCGATTACTTCCGTTTTTTTTTTGCTACAAAGTCTTTCTTTCAGATTTTAAAAGTTCAAGGGGCAACTAAAGCAATAAAATTACCCCTTATAATCGATATCAGTTGTCGGCTTCTACTAAAAGCATTTATGCGGTTAGTTCTAATATACGGTAATTGGTTTGTAATTGATCGAATTGTATTTCGCAGTCAAAGCAAGTTTGTCTGTCAATATTTATCATTATAACCGCTATAAACAATATTTTCATAATATTTCGCATTTCTATTCTAAAATTCTCTTTTAATCAATCAATCAAGATTAATTTGCTTAACAGCAAATAATTCACACTGGCTTTTACGTACCCAAACAGATATTGTCTTTATACACTTCACTTTTTTTGACTAAATTTCAAATGCAAAAAATCTCAAAGCAATTGATTGATGGACATTGAGGTTATATTGTATCCCTAAGGATGGTCTTGACTAGTACGACGAACGAAGAGTGATGAAATTCACACTATTTGTCTGCATATAGTACTTATGCTCTACTTCTATTCATGTAGATGAAGAGAATTTTTCGCTAAAAAGCATCTAAGGAGAGCTTAATGCAATTACACACTTCACTTCTTTCCTAAGATGTAAGAAAAAGAATACGAACGTGGCTAAGCGAGTACGGAACAAAAGAGAAGAAAAGTTGTCTTTTAAAAAACATTGTCGAGACCCATAACGGTATCCTTCGGTCAGTTCACGATTACGCCTTTTCAGAACTATGCAAAATGGAACCCTCTTGTCTCCATTATCAAAAGAAATTAAGTCAAGGATTCTAAATATTTCTTTTTAACTGATGGTGGTCTTATTATATCTCACTTGTTCAGAAATATATTTAACAGAGCCATCGATATATCTTAACGGCATAACTAAGCTGGAAAAGGGCTAGTGACACATAAATCTTAGCAAGAAACGGGCATGGTGTATCAAAAATCACGCTCTACGCAAAATAACAAATTTAACCGCAATTTAATCGCAGCCAGTAGCAAAAAGAAATCCACTCACTCAATATACGCTTTACAACTTATCACATATATCATATATCGTACAGTACATCGTTATTATGCAAACTAAAAGCTACGTTTAGATAGTCTTAGGTATTGATTGATGTGTGACTTCCTTGTAGTGAGTGACGAACACTCTGCCGGAAGTCACCGTGACAAGACAGACCACGTGGAAGATGAACAAAATTTTTCTTTCAGACAAACAGACAAACATGGCTAGGTCGAATCTATCCTTCTTTTCACTCTCCCGCTCTAATCTAAAATGTCTATGCATACGTCCACACGTAAAAACAAATAAGGTAGTCGACCGATGTCAACAATTGGATACCCTACACCACTTCGCCTAACACAATTATTTACTGGTCAAGAATGACCATTTCGTGCTACCGCACCCTTTTCATGAATGCCCGCATACTGGAGGGTGCCCAAAACGTCACATAATGAGATCCAAATTTTGCAAAGTTAATTTACTTCCTAAAATTTTAAAATTTTTCAGATTCCCTTATAAAAAATTACAAATAAGACTGTCTCTCTATGTAAGGAGTTGCTGTAATGACAATCTCTACCTTCTAAAATATAGATCTATATGATCCAAATTCCCTACTATTAATTTTTTTCATAAATTGCTAACATGGACCAACTTTTGTCATAAAGTATTAAGAATTAAACCTTTTTCTGAAGGGCTTGCTATTCATGAGAAATCGTATATGGGATGGGATTCAAAAAAGAGACCCACGTGATTCAAATTTGGTTCACTTAACTTGTATGCCAAATTACTACGATGAACAAATTTTATATAAGGGCGCACGTTTCTTCAGCATCCTTATATGCGAAGGTATACAAAACCTATATGGTACAAATTCGCTACGATTGATTTCTTTGTCAATTTACTACTATCAATCAATTTTCGACATAAATTATTGAAATTTAGACCTCTTTATTATATAAAAATTTAGTTTTCGTAGAAAAGGATATGTGAAAAAATTGCCGCAGTCAAACCAAATTTCTCATACCAATTTAAAATGTTGAAATAGTATTACTCAGCGACTTTTGTCGAATAATTTTGGAAATTACAATTTTTTTTTTTTGGGTGGGCAGACATGGGGAGACGGACAGACAAGTTTACAGTCATTTTCTGCTTCCATCGATATAAAAGAGATGGGTCTATTCTAAGCCTGTCTGGGCGTTACATACATTCCCACAAACTAAATTTACCTGTACGATAAGTGATGTAGAATAGAAACGTTGGGATAAACTGTTATAAACCCGTTGATGAGTAAGGAATGCCAAACCTTCATTGACGCTAACCTTCATTGCGTCTAACTGATCGCTATGAAGCTCGACACTTTTTAGACTATCTTTAATAATATTTTCTTATATAAATGTATAAGGATACCATCAATCATATACTAGTATATGATCCCTTAAAAAAAATTTGGTCAAGGTTATTAGCATATATGTATAGGTACATACTAATGAACATCACATACCCATATGTATGTTTAATTGAATATACCTGGGATTGCATGCGATTCCATAAATGTAGGTTATCAACCTTGGTCCTTGAAAATTTATCCAAAAATTCCACAAAGGAATCATCTATGAATATCTCAACAGATGAGGGCAAATTTTCACGCATGGCCAGCGACCAACCACACAACATAAATTGTACACATATGCAGGTCACCAAGAGAGTTGTAAACTGTTTTCAAAAAAAAAAAACAAGAAAATAAAAAAACAATAATAAAAAACCCAGAGAAGAAAATGCCATAGGGAGTAATTATAAGAGAATTTAGATTAAATAAACGTAGATCTATAGATTACCATGCCTAGGAGACAGCGTTTACGCTGATTAGTAGCCTGACAGCCCATCCAACATAATATGAATGTAATGGGTCCCAAGCATAATAATATGGCGGCGGGTGCCCATAATTTATTCTGGACAATGCCATAATAACCTGAATGCCCCCATAGCAATGAGGTGCCAATAAAAATTTGAGCACATCCTGTCACCTAAAACAAAAACGATACAAAAGAAATAAAAAAGAAAATGCCAGCGTAAATAAACCTAAGTTCAAAAGTTAATTTTTACGATTTCTACCTTTGTATGCATAAACGTAGATATTTATAAACATTTATATCTCTATACGCATATACATATGTACATGCATGCATGCATGTGTGTGTCTATATGTATGTATGTATGTTTGTATGTGTGTGTGTGTGTGTGTGTGTGTGTGCATGCATAAAGGCATGCATGCATCTTTCGTAAAATTTTTGTAAAAGTTTTTAACACATTTTGTATGTATTACGGTTTCCATAGTATTTTTGGATGTTTTGCAGAAAGCTAAAGTTGTTTAAGGTCATTTGCCTTGACTGCTTTCTAGTGCTTAAAATACTCTATTACACATAAACACACACATACATACGCACACACATACACACACACACACACACACATACATACACACACACAAAATCATATAAAGCCTGCATAGTAAGCAAGTGTCCTGCTTATACTACAATAGTTGCGCAATCATGTTTTTTCTTTCGTTTTCTTTTTTCTTTTGTATAAATGTTTATCTTACGCGAAATTCAAAAAAAAACCTTGAAATGTTTTCTTAAAAACATCTCTTCAAACTTCTATTTTATAATAAACACTTGATATATGCTATTACTTTGAATTAATTCGTATTTTCGCTGCCTTTATGTTAATACATACCGTTAGCAGGACCACATAACAATAAACTAAATATTTGAAACATTTTATACGTTTTGTCAATGCCATCTCATTTACTGTTTATATGAAATCATGAAATCTTGATTTATTTTTAATTCGTTTTTTTCTTTGTTTAATAATTTTTCTAATTAATTTTATTTATTTAAAAGGAGTACACTTTTTCATTCAACTATTTTGTATTATTAATTTTTTATTTAGCGTTTTTTAGCTTTTAATTTTGTGCCACATTTTGTGTGAGTTGTTATTTGTAGTCGCTGGGTATTTTGTGCGATGTCCACTTTTCAATAGATTTGTTTGTCTTGTTCTTCTTCTCTTTTTTCAATATATTTCCATTTGCAAGTTTTTTTAAATTCTCATGCAGTTAGCGAAAGCCTTCGTTTTAAGAAATTTTAAATTATAAAAAAGTAGTATTTGATGTTCGAACTAAGTAATAAAAATTATAAGAAAATCCGTTTATGATAAATAGTAACCAGACTTTTTCTAACATATTATTGTTATACACTATCTTTAATTTGAACAGTGGATTCATTATCTATAACCTATGTTTACGCAAATCAAATAATAAGTCCGTATATCGTACACAACACACAGAGCACAAACACAATAATAACAAAACTCTGGCTAGCTTTTGTTTGTGTTATGCATTGCATGCTTTTGGGGGCAAAAAGAAGCAACAACAAAATAAAAAGTGTGCCCATAAAGTATGTCAAACTTCACAGGGTTGCTACTCATTGGTGTATATTTTTCAAAAAAAAATAAATTTAAAATAAAATTAAAAAAAAAAAAGTATTTATTTATTGTCTGCATATTTTGTAAATAAAATTACAAAGTATGGATTTAGAGGTTGCCACATAAAAACGATCACATATTCGCCTGTATTGAAAACTTTACAGCACATGAGATTTGAACCCGCGATCCTTGAACTCTTAGCTATGTGGAAAAAGAATATTACAGTTAAAAAAGAGAGATAAGAAAATATGGCATCGTAATGACAAACGGCAACAAGATAAGTGGACTAAAGCGGGCGCGCATACAAAAACATAAATAACTGTTTACGCTGATCGAAGGAAAACACTTGTATTACAAAAGTAATGAGAATTTTCACTATACATCCGTTTAAGCTGTCAGTAATGCACTACAAAACTTTAATGTTGCGGTGCATTCAGCAAATTTGGTTAACAATTGCTAGACGATTTATGGGAAATTTTGGGAAATTAAAAATGGAATTACGCTAATCACTGATAAAAATATTGAGAAAATATGAGGCAATTCCGTCTACCAGAGGGGTAGCTGAACTGTATGCTATGTGAATTAAAGTTTCATCATGTTTTTAATATGAAAAAAGTAGTGACAGAAGCTAGGAATTTTTTGAAAAATTCTTAGAGAAATACAATACCACTGCGATGCGATATCGATATCGAATTAAACACAATGCACAAACAAATCTTTCGTCGGTGTTTCTTAATCCGAAAACTGAAAACGTTCCTACCTTCTTGTTAAAATCACATATATTTTATAGATTGTTACAGTTTTATGTTTTTACTCTTTGTTTTTTATTTCAATTTAATTATTGTCCGCAGTATTCGAGCATACTGTAAGCAAACTTTTATAGAAGTAGATGGCTAACTAACAGAAAAGTAATTCATAATTAAATGAAAGTTTACATAGTTTACATATTATAATAAGATAAAAAGTTTTATATAAAGCGCAGTAAACATCTATTTAAAATAAAGAGTTTAATTTCTGCATTGCGCGCTAGACATGTTTGTTGACTAAGGCTCATCCTTACCACAGAAGATATTAAACCAATTGTCGAATAACCATTAATGAATTATTTAATAAAAAATTTAAACCCCGCTATATAATTTTTATTTGCTTAAATGCTGGCAATAAAAAATAGAACAAGCGCCGCTCTCCACTAATATGAACACTGCATTCACCCTATTTCCGTGGTAAAATTATTATTATAACGAAAAAAGAACAAAAATTAAAAAGCTAAGTTGTAAAGAGAGTAAATAAATCATTATTTCTCTCATTATGTTTGGCTTATTCCTATTATTCCTGTCGTTGCATATGCAACAATTTCGTATGTTTTCTCCATACCTCCTCCTGATTTTGTATGAAATATTTTCCCTGGCACAGAGAAATATTTGATTTTGGGTTAAGAGCTATCTAAATGGTACTTAAAAAATATCAAACTTTACAACTCACAGAAGGAATTTAGTAATAAAATGGAGCAATTGTCGGGTGTTATGACCATCATCATCATCGTTGGGGGGTGGATTTTTGACTTTCGTATTGTTGTTTACATTTGCCAAAATGCAAATAGTGCGATTTACATTGACAAGTCGAAGAGGACCTCACATGCCCATAGGCAATAATTGTTCTTCGATTTGTTTTTCACAAATACTCCCGACCATAAATATCGCAGATTAAATATATTTCTATTAAATATATATAGAAAAAAGTATCTGAAATATCTCCTTAAAAGTGGAGTTTCACTTAAAGACGTCGTCTTAAATCGTTTCAGAAAATCATTATAAATCGATTGGTATACTGAAAGTGAATCATGTTAGTCCTTATAAAGGAGCCTACAGTACAATTGGTTTTAATGGATTTAAGGAAAATTTTTCATTTAAGGAGGGATTCACTTGCAACCTGGATCTATTCTTGTTCCGGGTGTGCTTCTGTGCTAGCTGTGTATATGCTGTTTTTATTTTTTTTTTATTTATTTCTTTTTCTCTCTCTTTTTATTTATTTACAAATGAATTGTTATTTTTAACTTTTTAATTTATTTTTAACTTACTGTGCTATTATTATTCTTCTTTTTATCTTCCTTTTTATTGTATACTAGTTTTTAAAACAATTCGTATAAGATTTTCTCTTAAGATGCTCTGAATTCGACTGTAAATTTCTTTAGTTGAATATATGACCAGTAAGAGGAAGACTTGCAAAATATATGACCAGCTGTAAAAGGAAAAGCAGACATATTGCAATTTACTTATTTTCATTTATTTATGGCGTTCATCACTTCGCTTCTACAACAATCAATAAATGTTAAATTAATAGTTTTCAGCATCATTCGTCATTTGTTTGGATCTACTGTAGAACGCTCGCTAGCAAAACAAATTTTCGCAGAGCACTAAGAAGAAGACCTGCACATGTAAACTTAATCGTTGTTCGTTTGAATCCATATTCAAAAAATACATTAACCTTTATGAGAAAATGAAAAAATAGTCTTATTTTTATTTACTAATTAATGTTAAGGTTTGGATATTGAGGCCAAAAGTAATTTAACTATCTTGACTATTAACTCTCCCCTCGGCTAGCAATGTTGCCGGCAAATCACAACCGAAGCAGGCATCACTATCGACGCAGTGGTTTATGGTCGTGCGCCAATGGGAATCCAAAAGGAGTATGTAGGGGTTGCCGTATATAATGAGAAGGTAACGTTAATCCGTTTCTCGTTTTGAATGAAACCTAATGCGTGGCGCACCCTTGACGAACCCCTCTACTTATAAGAATATTATTTGTTGACATCATTAGCACGGTCTTCTTCCAATACAAATTTTTGATGTAGCGACTATCTTTTTCGCCAATAGCAATTTTTAATTTGCCATGCTCTACTTGGCCAAAGAATTTTTCATAAACTACGAAAGAAACAAAAACATCTTCGTGCACGTCCCTACAGTTCCGGATTAGAACCTGAATGCAGGTGCCCATGCCTTTCCCTAAACCAAACTGATTACTGCCAAGTGATGAATCGCATTTACTACAGAGCTTCAGCTCAATTGCCCTTAGGAATATTTTCAGAACAGGATTCATTGAAAACATAAGGACTATTTAATCCTTAATCCGTGCGTACTCCTTCGGTAGACAGAGTGCCGCGCTGCTCACTCCTTTTATGATACTTTGTCGATGTTCACATATAAAATAAATGGAGAACTGGCTGGCTTCATCAATTAGCACATGGGCAAAATGATTGGGTCGAAAACCCATTTGCAAAAAATTTCCTAGGGTAGCGCAAGTACCAATCGTTAGTCGATGGCGCCCTAAAAACTTCTTTTCACATTCGCATCACAGTCCGGACTTACTCACAATCATATCATCTTTACAGGTGTCATCTATGCCAGTATCCCAATATCTATCCCCTGTTGCGCAATACGGCATCAAATGCTTTGGTGTAAGTTCTTCTTTGAATTCATTATGAGACGCTACACCTTTAAGATCACCCATTTTCAATACAGCGGATTCGATCAAACGCGTCATTATTAGATCAGCAGAACTATTGGAAGATGTGCCTACAAGCAGATGTGCACTGGGTGTCAATTTAAAAATTTGCAAAATGCTCTCCACTAGCTTTGCATTTTTTCCTGGGGATCCGAAAATCACGTATGGCATGTTGTAAACTTCTCCTCGCAGTATATTTGCTACGGCTTTTTTCTGCATAGAGTTCAGTGTGCAATTGTGCCATTTACACTGGCAACTGTCTAACAAGAGGTTTTCCTCATCATTTAGTTGTATATCTAATTGTGGGCATTCACGCATCTGTACTCGGGAGGGAAACAAAAACTTTTCGCCTATATTTTTAACCGCTCATAGTACTGTTTACGGTAGCCATAACGGGAGAAATAAAATTCTAGACGATAATCTTCGCCGTTATATTTTCGCTGAAAGTTGGGATCGAACTTAAGCAGAATGCGAATGAGAAGCACTTTGAGTATCACTCCTTTATACATCCGTTGGGCATTTTCGCCGTCGGCCCAGGTGTTTTCGGCTTTAACCATATCTCTATGGTCAGAGCTAAATACTTTCCCTCACGTGTGAAATGCGCTCGTTCACGGTTATACGGAACTTGACAAAACACTCAATCACTTCTAAATATACGAGTGTTTGGAACCGACTCTCGTTGTGACATATGTGTAATTCTCCTTTGAGACTCGGGAACATATATTAAATGTTTTCGAATATGCCATTTGTGCAACGCGACCTAAGACACGCCCATTTTAGTCGTTCGGGCACATCAAAGCTTCCGATACGAGTGGTATGCTGTACGGTGGAGGAACACATGTGTGATGAGTAGTTATATACATAGGAGAGATTATGTCGTAATAATTTATAGAAAACAATGAGCCACAGCCGTTGGATAGTT